AGGTGACCGCAGCATCATCCCCCCTGGACCCTCTCACCTTCCCCCCCCAGGTTACCCCAGGAGTGTCCAGGTGACCCCGAGGGACGTCCAGATGTGTCCCAGCTGTTCCCAACCCCCCTCAGGTGCCCCCGAGGTGCGTCCACACGTGTGCAAGTGATGCCAATCCCCCCCAGGTGTTATCCTGTGACGCCCCAGAGCAGTGTGCGTGTCCCAGGTGTATCCCCTGGTGCCCCCAGGTAAAGGGGGCCCTGCCCCACCCCCATCACTGTCGGGTCCCTGCTCCACTCAGTGGACCCCCAGGTAGGCGTGGCCAGGCTGAGCCCCACCCACACACCTGCCCCCCCCCGAGTGACATCACTGGCAGCCAATAAATGCCCAGGACAGGCCGGAAGAAGGTGGCGTTTATTCCGGGCGGGGGCGGAGCGAGACAGTGATTGGTCCGTAGGGACGAGGCTGGTCCAGGCGCACCCAATGGGCACCACAGAGCTCTGAGGGGGTGGGGCTCGGGGTTAGGGGGCAGGGCTTAGGGAGAGGGGTTGGGCCAATGGGTGTGGCTTGTGGGGAGGAGGCGGGGCTGGAGCTGTGGCGGACGGGAGGGCCCTCGGGAAAGGGAGGAGTTTGGGATGCAGAGGATGTGGGAAGGGGGCAGAGTTTGGAGAGATGGGTTAGGGAAAGTGGGCATGGCTTAAAGGAAATGGGCTGGGAAAGGGGGTGTGGTTAGGGGAAGGGGCGGGGCTTCGGGAAAAGGGGCAGGTCTGGAAGGTGAGCAGGTGGGGAAGGGGCGGGGCTTAAAGCAAAAGGTGCTCAGAGCCAGGGACTGGGCTTCTGTGGAAAGGGCGGGGCTTGGGGAAGGAGCCCGGTGGGAAAAGGGGTGGGGTCTGTGGGGTAAGGGGCGTGGTTTGGCAAAAGGGGGCATGTCCCTAAACTCACCGAGGCAGAGGGCAAAGATCTTTGCCACATGTGCGCGGGATGACCCCGGGGGCAGCATGGCCGTCAGCTCCGATCCCCCCGGGCGCTGGGCGTGCTCCAGGATCAGCCTGGGGACAGTCCAGGTCCCACAGATCCCAATCACCAAATTTTCCCCCTACTCCCCAGATTTTCCCCATTTTTGCCCAATTTTCCCCAAATGCTCCCTATTCCCACAGATCCCAATCCCACCCCACAGATCCCAATCCCAACTCACCTCCGAAGGTCGGGAGGAGCTTCAACCACCTCCGGAAGCTCCGGAAGCTCTGGGACAACGGGTGGGGCCGGGGGCCTGTGGGCAGGTACTTAGGGGGTCAGTGTGATCCCACCCACTTCCCCCAACCC